ACAACTATGTGGAAGTTCTCATAAGGTCATTTGTCATAAGTGACAATGTGAATTCTTAAGACAAAGCATTTTCAAAGCTTACTACAGCCAGTATTATTCTGTCTTGGTAGATTTCATATCAGTGCTGTTGTTCTCCTCGAACTGGAACGCTGACTTCCCATTGTAGGTTTTTTCTTGAACAGATTGATTTATCGATTGAGGAGGTTTATAGAAGGTGAGATTCCATGTAGCTACCAATTGCTTGACCTCTCTGGAAGCTAAATTCCTTATCAATGTATGGATTAAGGACACACCTGTGCTCATGACAGGAGTGCCCCCATATCAGAGTGCAATTGTTGCATAGTGCTGTGATTATACATTACATGGTGTCTTCTTGTTTGGAGCAATAGGATCTTTCAGGACCTTGCACTTGGAACACTTTATAGAAGATGGCATCAAAAAAGTAAGGTGGAGACAAATGTAAAGGTACTGTACATGTACCATTCTACTTCTTACATTATTATACATTATTCTTATATACTGTAGGTACTGATTGTAAGACCCCAGATCGGTAATAGTGATTCAATAAGTGAACCTACTGTAAATGGCTCACCTCTATCCCTGAGCCTGGCCCCTGTCTGGCAGCTTTTAATATATAGGTCACAACCAAATTAGAAATTTCTACCTATTGTAAGAATTTAATTGTGATTAATTGCAGGTCATTTGTTAATTTAAGCACTTTAGAAATAATTTGAAACATAAATTGCCAGCCATCAAGGAGTTCCCTTAATGCGGCACCTTGTCTGGTTAAATAACTTACATGTGTTCCTAATCTTTAAAAGCAGGTGATTTATGGAGACCTATAAAATGTACTGTACTGCGGCACCCCAAGACCAGACTAGAGGCCCCCGATTTACAATAAGATGAGAGTAAAGAGGACAGGTGACTATAAAAGAAGTAGTCTAATGCCTGGAGATGTGTTTGAGCAAAAAAGACAGCTAATTAATTATCTCAATAATTAGCTGCTAATTAATTATTTCACCTTTCAGTTATTTATATCTGTAATTATGTTTCTCAATAGCTCAAAAATGAGCTGGTCAATCCAAAAAACCATGGTCACAAACACTGTGGAGTAATAAAACAGGGATCACATTCACAATGATAATGCACTGCCAGAGTGTTTGTGAAATCTGTAAGTGAATATTTTTTTTACAGAAGTAAACAACCTGTTCAAGGTATCTGTACAAGCTCTTGTCTACAACAAAAATGTGCACATGGGTTTTGACCCATTTGCTCAAACCACTATTCTCACCCAGACAGCAAAGGCAGCGTCCCATAGAGGAGCTGTTGCAGTATTTTAACAATGTGGTGCTGAGGTCCAAGTGCAAAAATGAATGGTTACATGAAAAATTGACCTCTGGGGTGTGGAGGAACTGAAGAAGGCTCTACAGCCAAGACGTTGTGTCTCTTTTCCTTTCATCTTGGAATAAACCTTACCCAGTTCGTTTACAGCCTCCGCATACTGACTCAGCTTTCTGCTCAAAATGATTACATTACGCAAACCTTCTTTATCAAAAGCAGAACAGAAAGCGTTCAACGCGCCTGGCGAGACGTCTGCATCTTCCAAGATACCCCCGAGAAAGCTCAAACAAGATCAACAAACATTCATCACGAGAGATCGTGCATTCCTTTCATTTGACAATGGCTTCCACCTTGGGCTTGCTTTCCTGGCTTTGTGAAAATTGGAATTACAATCACTGCACATTGTCAACTTTAACCTGATCTTAAGGATGTAAAAGGATCCTTCAGCACTTAGGGTGGCACTGACAGTCTGGGTGACTGTCTCCTCGTCTCCTTTATACCTGTTTCTGAATGTTTCTTCCAGTTCTGTGTCATTGGGGAACTGGAGCATATTTCAGCAAGCACTGGGTGGCAGGTAGTGTACCAACCTGTCTTTGGACTGTGGGTGAAGACCAGCACACCCAGAATTGAGGGACACAATGTTGTGAGGCACCAATTCTAACCACCATGATCTGATAATAATGTGATGCAAACACACAAATTCTGTATCTAAATAATATTCTGATTGTCCAGTATCAGAGAGCAGCTTCTTCTTGGTACTAGTAGAGGCAAACCAGAACCTGTCCTTTAAGATTAGGGCGCAGGACAGGAAACTAGAAACTGCAGTTAGTGCAAATTTTATTAAGGACATTATTTTACTGTAAGTGTTTGTGGAACAACTTCCATCTGCTCCAATTCCTACTGACCCTCCAGGGAAATCTTTTCCATGGGCAATAGTGTAAACAGTAGTATTTTCAGATCTTGGGGAAAAAAGCAGCAATGGCCAGTATTGAAACAATTAGGTTTTGTTCCCCAATATGAGGACATTGATCAATGAGACAAAATACTCCAGACAGCAGATACTGTATCTCCAAAACCATCCCAGCTCAGATACAGATTCTTTCTGCACTGTTTCCAAGGTTACAACTGTAAAAGCATTTCAGCAGTTATATGAATCTACATGGCGTTATGCTTATGGAAAGCAAATTACTAAAAGCATTTTTTTTAAAGAATTAAATGGTATCTAAATTATTATTCTGCTCAATTGATACCATATCTGTACTTGTACATTCAATACAACTCAAGACTATCCCTTGAACTTTCACTGCTACAGTCCGTCCTAAAAACACTCACTCTTGGAATCTTGTTATTCTTTTGGAATGCCAACCTGGAAGCCAGTATTTCCCCTATCTCTAAGAACTGTGCCACCACATTGTCAAGTCCATCATCTTGTCCCTGTTGTCAAGTCCATACTCCTTTCAGATACTTGCCAGTGTGTAGAAATTGACAGTTCCCCCTTCACCTACAGGCTTGCTTATCAAAGACAGATCACATCTACCCTGTTACACTTGTCCTTTTCAGGTAACAACTCTCTTCAGACAGAATTCCAAGACTATTAACAAATGCATACATTTAATATAAATTCAGGTGGGTAGCTCTGTCTGTATGTGTAGGCTGTAAAGGAACAAGTAATAGGTTTATTCCATGCTGAAAAGAGAAGAAAGAAAACCTCATCTTTCTAGTGCAAAAAATGACTGTGTGATTTTCAGGTTGTTTAATTAGCCCCTTTATTTCCTGATTTTAAGCAAGCTTGCATTTTTAAATATTTTGTATTATGCTCGTTGGATTTTATTGTCTAGGTCTAAAAGGCATTAAAAACACTCCAGGAATTCCTTGCTGTCCTCCACTGTCTTGTGGGTATTTTTCTCTCTTGCTGTGTCGTATCACCAGGTTCTTTGCCCTGCTGGCCAGGCCAGCCACAGCCCTGTCATGAAAATCAAGGCCAGCATACAAGGCTGGAGAGAAGAACCAGAATTGCAAAGCCCTTGCAAAAGAACTGGACTAGGTATCATCTCCTCCATTGAATTTCATCTCAAAAGCCTTTTTGCTGTAAATTATTTCAAAGAACGATGGAGTCAATACCTAGATTAATGAAGTTACAGATGAAATCATGCAAACCCTACAAACAGTAATTTAAGCAATATATGATAAATACCACAAAACATACAGGTGCATTCCAAAACACTATACCTGAACCTGAGTAGATTCTGGACCTGTTAAAACTCAATGCTCTGACGCAGTATTGTCCCTTTTTAACAGATGTTTCTCCTCAAAGATACCATACCTCAATTTTACCCTCCCTGTCCTTGTCTTGCTGATGTTTATTGTGTCTAGTTCTGGAATGAAAGAAGAAAGGCTTAAGAGTAACTGGTGTTACGTAGCGGTCTCACAAGAGATTTCTATTAACAACATTTAGAGAGCTGGTTTTAGTAATACCCGTGTGCATAAGTCTCTTTGCCTACCTTAAATGTACTAAATAAGAGACGTATTTATCAAAGGCACGCCTTCAGACGTTTCGCGGAGCTTCCCAGAAACTGAGAAATAACACGGATAAAATTAAACTACAAAGGAAAATCGAACTCGCTTATTTTCAACACAATAATGTTTGACACAAACTATGCTGTTATACAAAACGCTTGTTAATCATTAACAATGTTTGTAGAGAACATTCTTTTAATGCATAATCGCCGAGTTAAGAAACCTTTTCCTAAAATAATAATACAAACCAGCAGACCTAGGTAAGGTAAGGTTCTATAACACTTTTATTTTTTTTACTGAAAGCTGTCGATTTCTGTTTTCGTGCCTCGTTTTCAATTGCAGACGTATTTCCTTTATTCTGTGGCTTACAAAAAATGCAATATGATATCGACCAGGGCGGATTTAAGAAACTGTTCGGACAACAAAACTACGTTTGTCTTTATTAGGATGAAAACCCATTTTGTGGAACAATTCGCCTCCAGCTTATTCAGTGGCAAACATAACTTTCAAGACTTTTTATTTTCATTTACACAACAAGTGCATTTTAAAATCACGTCACATAAATACAAGGCGGAGAACAAATTCACTTTTTTCCGCACAGTAAAAGTACTGGTAGTCGAACAATAGTACTCTGGTCATACATAACACTAATGAATAAATCTTTCAGCCTCTGTTTTAAAAAGTGTGACACAACACTCTTACCTTTGTACGGCACCCTTCCTATGACGTCACAGAACCGGCTCCTTGAGAATCGCATTGCTCAACAGAGGCGATTCAGAATGTGCTGTTCTCCTTATCACAGCTGATCCACAAAACATCCTTCATTTTCTCCATTTCTCCCAAAGCTGCAAGAGCGATCTGACTCGCATACCACCATTCTCCTGCTTGGGAAGAAACTTAGACAAAACCTGACACTTTTTGCTGTTTGTTGATCAATACAGTATATACTGTTTTCGTACGTTTTTGATTCGTACATTTTATTTTTCATTTTAGATAAAGGAACAACCGTATGAGCGCCTCCGAATTCTAACATTTCTTTTCAGATGACACTTCTTTCTCACTCTTAAAGGGTTGGAAATTCTTGCATTCAAGAGAAAATCATTCCCTAATAAGAAATCACTCCTCATCTCGATACTATGCAATACTGTTTTGGTGTTTATTATTTTTCTCCCGTTCTATTTTCCCCTCAAACCATTGTCTTTCGAACTCCGTCATTTTCATTACATAAGTAACGTACATTTTTAAAATAAAGCAAATTTGAAGAAGAAACCTTGCGCCAAATGAAAACTTTGTATAGTTACAGGCTTGCTGATTCTTTTATTTTCATCTTCACGGTCACACACATACACAAAAGGGGCACCGTGCGCCTTTGTTTTTTTTTCAGTCAAACACCGTTTCACACACTGTTACGGACGACAGACTTTTGCTTTTAGTCAGGTTGTCGCCCAGATCTGCGTAGCCTCTCCACGCACACATCTCCGCGCCACAGTTTTCGGACGAAGATCGGCTGTAAGACACCAGCTTTGGAACTGAGCTGCTCGTCGACGTCGTCGACGTCTGAGCCAGGGGCAGACTGAATACCGAGGAAAACTTCTCTCGGTAGCTTTTTCGAAACTTCTGCGCCGATCGGTACAGGTTGCCCACAAAGCAGTAACACAAAGGGTTTAAAGCCGAGTTCGTCAGGCCCAACCACTGCGCGAAGGGTCTCCCTTGTAGGATCCATTCATGCTCAACATGGTCAAGGTACTCTTCGCCCCCCAGTCCGTTCGGCATGTTGAAGTCGATCCAGATGTCCACTACGTACAGAGGCAGCCAGGACAGTGTGAAGAGCAGTACCAGAGCCACCACCATCTTAGCTATTTTCTTGCGCACTTTCAGCCGGGACACCGACTGAGCCACGTTACACTTATTGCACTCTTTGAATTTGTCGTCCGTGCTCCAGAGCTTGCGCCCAGTGAGAAAGCAAATGATCAGGTTGAAAAGGACGGGGAAGCCGTACAAGGCGCAGAAAAGCAGAAAGTTATAAGCCTGCCTCAGCTTGACGTGTGGCCAGCTCTCCATGCACACGGTGATAGCCTGCTTGCCGTCCAGGAGGACCAAGTCCTTGCTCTTGTTCATGAAGATCAACGGCATGCACAGCCCCGAGGACAGAGCCCACACAACGCAAATCATCCAAAAGATCTTCCTGCAGGTGAAGAACGACCTGGCGTTCAGGGGGTTGTGGACGCTGTAGTAGCGATTCAGGCTGATCACGGCCAGGCTTAGAACGCTGGCCGCCACTGATACGGCTTGAACGAAGGGGACAGTCCGGCACAAAAAGTCACCAAACACCCAGGCGTTATATACCTGGTGTCCCAAGTTCACCGGCATGCAGATACACACCACCATCATGTCGCACACGGCCAGGTTGATCAGAAGACTTCTGGTGGCCGAAACGCCGGAGAGCCTGTTCCTTCTCTTCCGTGTGAGCACCCTGAGTGCCATGATGTTGCCAACGAGCCCGATGACGAACGACAGGGTGTACATCACCACCAGCACTATGGTACCTGGTTCGTGCCCCGTGAAAAGCACGTTATCCGCGAAAGGAAGCGCTTCGCGAGCACTCAGGTTCTTGATGGTGTGCCCCAGAAAGGAAAAGTTCTTCGGAAACAAGTGTCCGAATTTTAAGTAAAACTCTGTGAAATTCATAACGTTTGTCTTATTCCTCTAGGAAAGCCGACGTCGGATCCCGAAAGCATCGATAACTGTTCATTGGACTTTTTTACTCGAACGATATCAGGTTTTTTTTATTTGACGAACACGAGCTATATAAAGAAAAATCTCTTCGGCAGGTAATACATCAGTATTTTTTTCGACCGACATAGCGAAAACCTATTAGAAAATAAATCCAGGACGGTATAATTTACAGTCAGTCGTCTTTCAAAATGGTTCAAAATCACGAATTGCTATTAATTGTTGTAAATCCTCCTCACAATGGAAGAACTCCAGTGGTGTTGCCATTAAGTCCAAGCAACCTCTCTTTGTAGTGTGAAACCGCTAAACCATCTCAGACGTAATCAGGGGTGGACAGGTGTTGTTCTGTTCCCCTCTGGACTGCTTTAAAGCAAGACGACTCGGACCGCTCATTTTAAACCTAAAAATACAATTCCTTACCGACAGATGGCAACCGAGAGCCGGAATGAAGGGGCTGGTAAAGAAGTACAAGTTCAAAGACAACCCAATAAAGTTCACATTAACTCGCTATCTTCTTATATATTTCAGTGTTTTTTATTGTAAAGTTGAAACGTTGTAAAATTGTACATTTTGTCTTGAGCCGATTCATTGAGTGTAATTTGCCCAAATCGTTTTATAATTACATCTAAATTGTTATATAAAACCTAAGCTCATCCGAAGTCATTTACATTGTTATGCGCTCAAATACGTCTTTGAAAAATGTTTTTTTCTGCCTTTTCTAAGGTGCTCATTTGTTTTAGCGTTTGGGATCAAATTTTGCATTCTCAACTATTCTAACCTTAAGTTTCTCACCACATAGTTTTACAGTAAAATGCCTTCGCAAATATGGACACTAACGCGTAGGAAGTGGTAAACATTTACTTGATTGATGTCCATGTGAGTTGCAAAAGCACAAGAGCACATGTTAAATGTGAATGTTCAACAGACGGAACGGTGATGTCGAATAGAGAGGCTCGGGGTTCTCTTTCAGACTTGATGTCCGCCGATCTTACTGAACCAAGGTGCAATGCAAGGTAATAAAGACAAAGGAATTAGACAAAATGTCAACCAAGCGATGGTAAACACTTTTTCTTAATCAAAATAGACATAAAGCTGAGTCCTATTTATGCTACGATACAAAAAAAACTGGTACAGAAAATGAGTGAACGAAGAAGCATTTTACACACATTTCTTTTCGTAGTTGAAATCTCATAATATACATTTTTTTTCTTTTGAGCTCGCTGAAGTGCTGTGGGTTGTTTTCACCAGTGCTTGCGAGCCGTGTACTTCAGCACCACAGCCCCTGGACAGCTCCCTTGTACGCTCCTATTTGCTTTATAGCGTAACACCTCTAGCAGCTAATAATAATAATAATAATAATAGCTTACATTTATATAGCGCTTTTCTGGACACTCCACTCAAAGCGCTTTACAGGCAATGGGAACTCCCCTCCACCACCACCAATGTGCAGCCATAGTGCGCCAGAATATCACCACACATTAGCGATCAGTGGGGAGGAGAGCAGAGTAATTAAGCCAATTTGTAGAGGGGGATTGTTAGGAGGCCATGATTGATAAAGGCCGATGGGAAATTTGTTAGGAGGCCATGATTGATAAAGGCCGATGGGAAATTTGGCCAGGACGCCAGGGTACACCCCTACTCTTTTCGAGAAACACCCTGGGATTTTTAATGACCGCAGAGAGTCAGGACCTCGGTATTACGTCTCATCCGAAGGACGGCGCCTGTTTACAGTATAGTGTTCCCGTCACTACACTGGGGCATTAGGACCCACATAGACCGCAGGGTGAGCGCCCCCTGATGTCCTCACTGACACCTCTTCCAGCAGCAACCTTAGTTTTTCCCAGGAGGTCTCCCATCCAGGTACTGACCAGGCTCACATCTGCTGAGCTTCAGTGGGTTAAGCTAAGAAAGCAAAGACAAATATTTCGACAGCCAGTCGTATCGACACACTAACGTTTTTTTTACTCAAGTTCGTTTACTTGACTGCCCTTTTCGTCCTGTATAGCAGTCCGTCATCAGCCCCAATGCTATGTTAATTAGGTTTTAGGTATACTAGCGAAAGAACGGAAAACATGTGGTGTAGACAGAAATTACTCAATCGAATACAATATCAATTAATTAAAATTCTTGAAACGTAAGTAGTTGAATAACGTTACTAATTACATAAGATAAAAGGTTGTTACTAACGGCATTAGTTATTGTACTCATTAGAGCCCCAAATCAAACCAGTATCTGAGATACTTCCGCTTCCGTTGTGAAAACCGAGTTTCTTTCAAAGTGACACAAACGGACTCCGCTACACATGGTTAACTCCTGTTTCGCTCGCTGATATCCGTGTCCTATCCAGGGACAAAAAATGCTCAGGGAGAACGGGTATACAGTACATCAGTAAATATGATCGACATAACAAGCCGGAACCGTCAACTAAAAATACACCTAGAGAGTTTCAAGCATCAAGACAATTAATCAACACTAACGATAGTTAGAATTATAATCACAGAGTAGCCTCCCATTCTTCCTCTGAGTTTAGAGCTTTTCAAATCAACAAGCTGAGACATTTACTTCAACAATCAGTGAAGCTCCATAGGCTTTATCTGGTCTCTGCAGGTCCCATCTCTGCGGGGAAGCGCTCAGTAATAGTGAAGTTTTCAATCGGAAGAAATAGACTCCGTAGGAGGCCCTGGAATACAAGATATTTTATTTCGTGCTATCATCAAAAACTTCAAACAGCATCCATGTTTATAAGCTATTTGTCAGGACCTGCATTTTCTAAATATCTAGTTGCTTAACACCAACGTTTTATTTTGTTCATTTCACTTTCTGTTTATATCGTAAATGTAAACTGACCGTGCTGAATTGAACATTTTCAGTGCCATGACGTTGCAAAGCACGTCTCAATATCTAGGCTCATGTCTAAACTGCTGGTGTCATGATTCTAGCTAGAACCTCCTGGGTGATTTCTATCACTGCTGCTCATCAAAATGAAAACAATGGGTTTAATCTGCTGTTTCTCCCTGGTTACACCAGTGGATAACAAAAGGCCCATATTTAGTTTTCAACAGACCTACCAATTCACAAAGCTTTTCTTGTGCATCTAAACACAAGACAATGGACAATGGATCCTTCCTTCGTTAAGGTCTGGCAGGGTTTTGAACGGACAGTGTGTTTATGTTGTACCTAAATCCTGTGCTACCGATGTCTAATTCAGAGTGGATGCAAGATCTATAGTCTGACGCATATCGTGTTTTCAGCTTTTAAGTGCACTGGAGTGGAAATTGAAAAAAGTTACCTTATTTTTCAAAATATAGATGCGCTTGTAATTTTGAATATTAATCAGTGGAGTATATTACTTATTTTCTCTCTATCACCTACCCTCTGTCAATCAGCACTGTTTAATTTTAACAGGTTACACAGAGCAATTTCTAAGTGGACACTGAAACACAAATGAATTAGCTAATGTGCCCCCCAAAAAAGTTCAATCTGACCTTTCTCTTCAATTCACTGTCAAATATATACATGGAAATCACCAAAAATCTGAAATCCTTAAAAACCTTTTTATTGTGTATCCAAAACCATGAGAAAAATTCCACAAGGCAAAAAAGAAAATTAAAAAATGCCACAACCATATCATGCCCTTGGTAGTTTTGCATCACAGTGATGTCAACTGAATACATGACAACGGACTAAGCAGAAGTCCACACTCTCCTTTGACTCTGTGCATACTTAAGATACACGGTCTTCGTTCTTCTTTAATGATGAACTAAAAGTGCCGTGTTTTTAAGTGGGATGTCACAAGGGAACAGCAAACGCTAACAATGCAGTAATAATTAGGACAAAATTCAGCAAATGGCATTCCTGCCAATTGAAAAAAGACACCAAAAATCCTCAACAATTTAGGTTTTCTTCCTCCCAAAACACATAAATGACAACAAAGGCATAATGAGGGAAGAGCTGCAGGGTTGCTGCAATGCAGAATGTCAGTAAAGGAAGATGTCTACAAAGATGTTAAAAACAATACAGAACACTTCACATTTCCAAACCCCTGCCATGTCAGATTGAGTATGAACTTTTAAACCTTGAGGGATTTTTTTGATGTCTCCATTTTTATTTACGAGTAAGAGCTCTGTGTGACACAGGATATTTACTACACTCGCCTAATGCCATCTGTGATTTTTGGAGTCATTTGAGATTGTCATCCTTTGCTCCTGCTGCAATCATTACCATAGCGAGCTGATTGCCCTGTCACAATATTTCCCTTTAACTTATCTTTCCAGCACTGCTGAAGGAATGAACAGATTGAATAGAAATGTATTGTTCATTTGTTACTTCCAGAGCACATGTTCCTCGTCCACTGTTTTCAGTGACCTTTGGAAATGATTGGTACTGAAGGCGACAGTGAAAGTCTGGAATAAAAACAACCACATCGATGGACACGAAAGATGAAAACTTTTACAATCGCCTCCATCTGTTATGTTATGTAAGACTCCAAGGACAATGGAGCATTCCATAGTCACCCCAAGGTCTGGCACTGAATTTATGTTGTATAAATTCAATATTTTAAAACATGGAATCAGTGCAAAATGTTATTCTGCATTTCAGTGGACTGACCTGTCTAGACAGCAATAATCATCATAGACTGAAAACCATTTTTTTCCTAGAAATGAATTTAGTTTTCAACAGGATTTTGAATCCCAGATGCTCTCTGATGAGGATCAACAGCGGATAAGCTTCTCAATCTGGGATGCTGGAATTCTGATGCCTCTTGAAGGCACTAATCTTTCTATAGGTACGTAAAGGAGTACTCATGTTCCTGGGTAATACAGAATAGGCTGTATTGATTCTGATAGGGGAAAACCCAGACACAATCTTCTAGATCCCAGATTGCTTCTCATTAAGGGTTTGTCACAGTCAAGCTAAAATTCAAAACATCTAAAATATCAACTTGCCTGCAACAGGGAAAAGTCAATATTGACTCTAAGACTGTGGTAAGGCTAAGTCACCCTAGGCTTGTTCTTTAAGAAGGGCTTCTTTAATTCCCAATGTAACAGTTAAAGACATAACTATTCAGAACGTTTAAGCTAGGTGAATGAAAGCGTAATTGTGTCACAGATTAAATGGTCTTTTAAGAATAACAAAACGGGCAATTCAATCTCAAGGCATGTTTTTAATGCAGCCTCATGAAACGACAAAAGATAAAATCCACCTTCGTCAAGTGAAGACTTTACGAAGGACACATTAAACTGAATCCAAAACTAGCCAGAGTCCATAGACTAGAGTCCATGTCATACAGATGATGGATCTACATAAAGTATTATGATCATGCTTTTTACATTCGAACAAGACAGAAAATTAAATTCACAGCCTGTGTGGTTTAGCAAATATTGTTCAAACTTTTTAGCTTGTGTTGATAGCAAAGTCTTATGGAGGGGCACATCTGTTTTTTTCTTGTAATCATGTTTTTTAATTATCATCCCCTGGATTATATAGTAAAGTCCTGTGTGATTACAGTATTGCACACAAGACAGTTAATGAGAGTGATGAGGATTCTCTCCATCCCAGAGACAGATGGAATGAATTAATTACAATAGTACTTACATGTGGAATACGTCACTATTACATTTTCTAGTTATCTGAGCAGGAACAAAAGGATAACCAGTTTATCCTCAATTCAAAATGTGTGATGAAATATTCTGACAAAAATAACTATCTAGTTAACGGTGAGGCAGAAAAACAGTATCAAAGTATGGTACCAACAATCGAGCAAGCCATGTACACAGATGAATTTATCTGCTGTATAGACAGTACTATTATCATTAGGTTTCTTGACTGTTTTTAGCATACATTTATGGGAAATCAATATCATTCTAGAACTCAACTGTGTGTCCTAACAGATTAAAAAATATTACTAGAAAACGTCAGGGTTATCCTGAGATCATGAAAGTGAAAATTACAGTCCCTATGTCATTCCCACAGGATAATAAAATTAAACCATGGATGACTCTCCTTCTTCTTCAGTTATCTCTGCTGATGCGGTGGATGTGGATAAAAGGAAGCACTGCTCAAAGCTAAGAAATCAGGCTTTCTGTAGTCAATATCTAGCAAATAGATTCTGCCGGTGAACACAGAATATTCACAAGTCGTTGCTTCTCTTTGCTCAGAACTCGGGTGTCTTTGAATTGGACACTTCAAACTCTGGGGAAAAGTCCTTCAAGATGGATAGAGAGAAAGGCTTTAAGACTTCAGTAGTGTGCCTGATGTTCCATACACCAGTCTGAGGGTCTTCTGGATCTTAAGCATCCTGCAGTTACAAATATATTTCTGGAAAGTCAGAGGTATTAACAGGCTTTGTAAAAAACAGTGATCTCAGTCCCCACATCCCAAAAATGGCTAAACTTTACATGGTGAATTATTTCCTTTGGGACTATTTAGGATTAGTAGTTTAAATATTTCAATTATTTTCAGGTCCAACAATTACCTATATGAAAACGCATTTGCACTGCTATTTTAAGGACATTTTCCTTAAAATAAAGTCATTTGGAGGACGAATGATTAGGTTTTTTTGTCTTCAGCAATTTTTGGTCTATAATTCAGATGTCTTTAAATTAGTGTCAAATTTCTGTGTGTAACCTTGTCTCTGTTACAGCAATACACCTATACTTGACAATACTCAGTAGACACAATACCTTAAAATACAAAGCATCTTAATGCAATAAAGTGATATAGTTTGCTTTGTCACACCACATACCATTAAAATTCACTCACCATTTTGACCTTACTGAAAGTATAGAAAGTGGACAACCAATGCAAAAGAAACCTTAAAATAATAATTCATATTTTCTGCAATAAAACATTTCTATTGTTATTAAAACTACTAAATCCCTCATTCCTGTTACTATTAAGTCAGGAGGTTTACCTTCTGGATGTGGGGGTGATTTAAAGTCAAAGAGAAAAGACACTATTTAATTCTGATTGATGTAAAAAGGCATAATGGGCCCCCTTCATAAACAAATATCAGATCAAAAGTTTAGGAAGTAGGAAATGGCTTTAAAAGCTGTTTGGTGGGAAATAAATATTTAAAAAGGGCAATTCCTCAAAATGCATCTGTTCATTGTAAAGGCAAAAAAAAAAAAGTAAAAAACACTCTTTTCCCATCTCCCGGCAAGACGACACCCCGAATAAATAGGACCCGCACCAATACACTGTGTAGTCCAGACTGCAGCCCTTTCCCTCCTCCTTTCCATTCTGAGTGGTTTGGTTTACAGTTAGCAGCAGCAACACTGTACATCTGTCCAGACTATCTCAGGCCACCAGGTCGCCCTCACTCCTGTCTCGCTCTGTGGCGGTGTCTTCACGCCTCTCCCCGTTCACCTGCCCCTCCGCAAGCCCGGAGTTCCACTTCAGCGACTTCTCGTACTTGGTCTTGAACAGCAGCCCGTGACCTGCCAAGGAACGAACAGAGGTCGAGAGGCGTTCAGATTCTCCACGGTCAGCTGGCAGCCTGCATCGACACAGCAATAAGGTGATGGAAAAGAGGAAAACCATAAATAATTGCAATTAAACACCTCATAAATATCTGATGTGTGCAAAGAAACAGAAAGTAAATGAGTGATCTATCTGGCTTTGGTTTTGTGTTCGAAGACGGAATGAAAACATCACGCATTAAAGAACTTCAATATTTTCCAATATTTTTAGATTTTAATACTTCAATGACAGTTCCGCCCGAATCACAAGTACGGATAAAATTGTTCTAATTTCTAACATGCAACAGAGAGCAAATTACCACAGTAAAAAAAAAGCCTTGTAACCAGCTGCTATATCACCCTACATCGCACAGCTGGCAGCCTACTGAAGCTCAGCAGGTGTGAGCCTGGTCAGTACCTGGATGGGAGACCTCCTGGGAAAAACTAAGGTTGCTGCTGGAAGAGGTGTCAGTGAGGACATCAGGGGGCGCTCACCCTGCGGTCCATGTGGGTCCTAATGTCCCAGTATAGCGACGGGGATACTATATTGTACAAAGGTGCCGTCTTCAGATGAGGGCATTTTTTGAAAGGAAAAGTTTCAATTTTTTGAAAGGGGTGTTATCCCAGGGTCCTAGACAAATTTCCTTTCAGCCTTTACCAATCATGGCCATAATAATCCCATCTATGAACTGGCTTCATCTCACTGTTCTTCTCCCCACTGAGAGCCAGTGTGTGGTGAGCGTACTTGGCTGTCACTGCATCATCCGGGTGGGGGCTACACACTGGTGGTGATAGAGGGGTTCCCTATTATAGCTGTAAAGCATTCTTTAAGAGTAAGGGATATGTATACCATACAGCTAGTCATAGGGGTCCTACAGCTTCCCTGCTTTGTTTCTATGTCTAGTGATTCATGACACTAAAACTAAGAGGGGCCCAGCACTCTGGGAAATTGTGAGTAGTAGTCACAGATCTCCTAGACATAGTGGGAAAAATAACATCCATTTAATTTCCACTTCATACCAATTGCCATTTCATTCTCACCTGCATGGCAGCAATGAGTCACATGGCCTTTCATTTACTGTGGCAGGTCAGAGCAAAACTCATTAGGCCACACACCGTGAGATGCAAATAAAGAAACTGGTGTTCTCAAATACCATCAACTCAATAGGAAACATAGGTGATTGAATGGCTCTCTGCTAGCTGACAATGGCGAGCTTTCTAATCACCAGAACATTACCTCCAACTGCATAGTCTTTAGGCATTCTGTTACTGGATGCTACTTTACATTCCACACACAAGCGGGGAGCAGGAACCATTAGAATACTCATTCAATCCGACTTAAATCATTTGCCACACCAATCTTGTTGTGCCCTGCCACACAAAGGTCACTGGTTTGAGCCTGTAACCAGTACTGCCCAAATCATGATGCACTAATAGGTCAGTATGTTGGAGAAGTCAGCAAACTCACATTCCCAAGTGCAGTAATTAAGACTGTAAGTCGAGTATTAGCTTCCAATCCAAAGTTGAAAATAAAAAAAAACAGGCTGAATTTGCCACAACACTCATTTAAGGGGATACTTATCAATGTTCTAACTCAGTGCTTTGTGGCATTTGACATCTTCTCCAAGGAGCAGTTACAAAGTTTTAAGTACAACTAAGAAACATTGTGTGAATGTGTGAGTAGCTAATCTAAGCTCTATTGGGATATGTAACAAGCCTTGTGATACAAACTCTGGAGAATTTTCAGAGCTTCATCATTTTCTGAATGTTAGTACTAATTATGCTAGTGATGAACATAAAAGAATAGATTGCTCTTTGTTCTAAGAAAGAAGACCCTTTATTCTAAGGATACAGCAAAGCTAACAGCTTTTGGAAGATTTGATTTCAGTAGAAAACTGGTTCCCACTCCCTCCAGTGCGAAATGCTTAAAGAAACGTCTCTGTGTGAACAATGTGATGGGTGCTGTGCAATTACCACCCACTCACACAGTATCAACACAGTATTGAAAGCTTTGTCTAGAAAAGTATTCAGAAAAATTCTTCCCATTTTCTTAAAACATTTTTAAGGATTTTGTTTTCGCGGTCATTGGCCACTCCATATTTTTTACAAAACCTTAAATTGTCATGCCTCTTTAAAATGAAATAAACATCAGCAATGTAAATGAAACAGCCGACAAGGCCACAGCTCTTATTCAACATACTGTCTTCAAAGACAAAAAATAGGATGGAACATCAAGATAACCTCATCTTCATGCTCATCAGATGGAAACAAAAAGTCAGGAAAATAAAAAGTAATTACAATAAAAATAAAAATAAATCAGTAAAAACAAAAATCCTGTTTAGCAGGGTCTGTGGGGAGCTGCTGCTGCCATACAGACCGAGCCGTGCCATGAAGCAGGGATTCCCCATCATGGTCCTGCAGGACCACACAACTGCGTTCTTTTTCCATTCAAGTTCTCAGTTACAAAGCTGAGCCCTTAATCCATTCAACAGGTTTAATTTCAACCTTTTGACATTTCAGCTCATTAGTGTTGGAGGCTGCCTTTGAACTATTGAGTTTCATCAGTAAATTAAAATCCCAAGGTTTTAAATTGAGAACCAACATTCAAATATTCCAAATCAATCCACTTTCTAGCGCAATTAAGGCTTCAATTAGGCAATTAAGCTCAGCTGTAATGAACACTAGCAGAGTGTGCAGTCCAGCAGGACCCTGGCCATAGAGCACTGTGTATCTCTGGGATAAGCCCCCAAAAAGGTCACCTGGACAGTCAGCCATTTCTTTATAAGACTTCTTCTTACAGCATCCCCGGCACAGGCTGAAGACACACTTATTACCCTACAGAAAAAGAGAAAAACAAATCAAATCCACATCACACCCCATCTCACATGGACTGAACAGAATACCACATGGAAGAACTATCAGCATTACAATTCTCATGGATCAACCTGACTATATTTAAAGTGATTCACATTCTATGGTACGTATTTGTCATTCAGAATCTCAGTCCCTTAAAAGCCCCATCACTTAACTTCCCATGTTGTTTGTCCTAATTCTGAAATTTAAAAAGGGTACATTAGAGAAAATTACATCAAAACAAATCATTAAACCTGTCACGCAAGAGCTTTAGGTCTGTAATGAAACTAGAGCAGATTAGTAATTATTGAGCCATGTGAAACCTAGTTTATAATGCACACAGGTGACTCCTATTCTAAAAGTAATGTTATTTTCTGAAGAAAATGCATGTAAAATAACTTTCAATTTATAAATCAAATAATACCAGTTCAAATGCAGATGATGTTAAGCAGCAATGAGAATTACCCAATAAGAAAATGTTATGTTCCTCAACCTTAACACAATACCTTTAAAAGTATGGTTTTAAAAATAAGAAAAAAAAACTACTCTGCTTCTTCACGATAAAGAATATATTCATCCTACATTAAACTTTTATTGCTACAGTTAATATTTCATTGAACTCCACCTGGCTCTGATTAATGTCTCTCATCTGTTTTTGAGGTTTACTGACAGTGTACAGACAGTGTTGGCCTTAATACCCAATTCGCACTAAGCAGCAGCAAGACGATACATTTAATGCATAAAAATGTATTGAACGTTTAACCAGGTACAAAGGCAACTTATTGCTACATAATTTAAAACTATAGCCACCTTTATTTAATCTGCCTTTCACAGCAACCGAGCACAAAAAGAAAAAGATCTTTGTGAAATTAATCACTACATTTAAATCTGTACTAATAGCACAGGCTCACTGGGTCATGAAGAGGGTTTTGTGCTTGTTCACTGAAACACTGATGCAATATTATTTCACTGAAATTGAAGCTGTGGTGATGCCACACTGAAATCAGATCAACGTGTTCTCTTGAAGAGGTGTCTTATGTATTCTGACACATATTATTCAACATAACCCACTATGCCTGGTATCTACTGCTTTCGACAGCAAAGCAAACAGTGTGTGACTTACATGCTCAATACACCTAGGCCTGCCCCTGTCCAAAATTTCATGACAATCGAGTTGATTTAGCACCATACTTGAATTTCATACATGATCATTTACTATATACAGTATGGAAAAATAATTAGGCACAACACATTGTAAAGAAAAAATTTAGAGCAAGTGCCAATTATGATTCATCCATTTTCTTAAATTTAGATGTTTCAAATGTTAGGTATTTCATTGGCTGAATGCCCCCCTCTAGTTTGCTAACCTTGGTAATGTTCTGATTTAATGGTTAAAAAAACCTATTCAATGTGGGCAAAATGTGGCCAAGGACACAATTCATGAATGTGTTAACTTCATGACTGATCAGGTCAAAACACTAAATGTAACACCAAATTAGTGTAAAAGAACAATTAAACATGTCAGAACCCTAAATTATTTGTCTATTAATAAAAGTACACAAGGAAGTTTTAATAAAATTCGCCCTCACTGAAATGTTTGTTTCTGCTCTTCTTTGACATTCTTTAAGGTAACTGTTTAGGATTTAAAAACAGGAGTTTAATGCATTTCTGAAATAGAATCATCCTCAATTCCAGGCACATTTGGACTATTTTTGGTGCTTTTAAGAAAAATCAAATACTTAAGATGAATGGACTGACAGCAGATAAAAATGGAACAGAAAATAACATTATTTTAAAGTGAGTGCACTTTAACTACGCAGTCACACTGTTGTGAGAGGGCACTCCAGAAGAACCCAGCATTTACTTTCCATATAAAAAATTTAACTCAATGTCTGCATTTGAAGCAATGGGACAATTTACAAATCCCCACTGTTAAACCAGGAAGATTTGCTGGTTTCAGGATCACACTACATGAAACACATCGGTGTTGGTTGTTTGTGCGGGACATTTTCAGATCCACTCTGCAAATATGAAAGTGCTCTTCTTAAAAGTACACAAATTTGTAAAAGCAGGATGAAAAGCATTTGGCTCTACCCTCTCTTAGTGTTGTATATCTCAAATTTGCATGCAAAGTTAAACTAAGGTTTGGTGATTCCAGCAAAATTAGCTACTGACAAAAGCTTGTTTCATATGTCAGAACCATGAGATGGTACAGCTGTTGCTGTATTCATAAAAATATGAATTTATTAAGATAAGGACAGCACACATAGTACAAAAGTAATCACAGCATAAGCACACCCTTTTCTGTTACCAGAGACAAATATGGCACTGGTCAAGTTCTGCCTTCCTTTGTGACAAGCATAAAAGAGATGATAATATTCAATATCTAATTAATGACACTAAGATTTGATGAAAACCAGTAGAATTAAGAAGACAAACCTTGTTAAAAAGAGCAGATTATTAAGTGGATGGTGCCACCAACTTAAAGTGTGGCACTATTTGCTATGGTTCTACTATCACGGCTACAAAACATTTTTGAATGCAAAAAAACTACCAAGCTTCCTGATCCCCATTTTAACACAAAAAGTCAATATAGTACATAAAACAGTCATTCCAAAATTCCCAATATCAGATAAAAAGAATTACTCCATAAGAGAAATAAGCCAATAGACACAGTTTAATGGGGAAGTGGTCAATCAACTGTGCAGATGAATGGAAATGGAATCTAGGTAGAACAGAGACTGCTAAAGGCAATAATCCATGAAGCTCCGGAATAGTAAAGCAGACAAGCCCCATTAGTTTTGAAAAGCAGCTTCAGTCTTTACCGAATCTCATTAAGAGATGAAAGCTAGCTTGTCCCTTCTCTTGAAACAGCTTGCATAATAACAGTTATCGATGTCTGTTCTTCCTCAATCGTCATTGACGTTCTAATCAATGCATAGACTCCAAAGTGCTGTTAGGATTGAAAATGAGAGCAATGAACATTGTATCAAAATTATTCTCACAATTACATGTCACAATACATTTATACAATGTATAATTCTGGTTTAATTAGAGTCACATGTACCAATAATTTCCTGAGTGTTCACTACTGCGGAAACTTAAAACAAATGTTTTATTCAGGCAAGTTAGAGAATTCATGAGGAAGATTGACCTGACACCCTTTATTCAGGCTTATGTGGTGTCTCAACCTATTGCTGAGAGAAAAAAAAACCTTCAGAAGATGGAACCAAGGGTCTTAACTACAACTTATGTAAAAAATGATAAATCTGAGTTCATGCTTTTTGAGACAATTGAGACCTAGCCTAAACAAAAAAAAATCTAAAACAGTTTGATAATAGCAAAGAAGAGCAACGTTAGCCTCCTATGTTTATCAGTGATGAAGAGCACCTCTGTCTCCTGAATGTTTTGAATTGAGGTCCAAAAATCAGTCTAACTATGTCTCCCGTGAGCAAATGTTTACAGAAAATTTAGTTGAAATCAAAAAGGATGAGGTCAAAAATGGCTGTTTTGATTTCATACGGAAGGATCCCTCAAATGAATGAAAGTGCGAGCCTGTATTTGGCTAACATTCTATATGTTCTGATACTAGGAGTTAAAAAGCTCATGGTGCTCATGAAGGTAGTTAGATTAGTAGAGGAACAGTGCAAAGAAAACAATTAACTGACCAAAGAAATTTGCTGTATGCACAAAAGGGGCATGCATTCCCATAGCCCATTACAGTGTGTACCAGAGGGGGTTATATCAGCACAACATGACCACCACTGGTGTCTATGATGTCCATGGAACAGTGTGAAACACAGCTGCACGGACAGTTGTTGTTCACAGGACCAACTTGGTCCCAACTGCATGTGTACCAAATTTCATTGCTCCACATTGCAGTTTCTATGATACAGTTTTTTTACAAAGGCCAGTGAACCTTTAATGTGTCATACTGTAATATGATGCCTGCCTTTTTGCTCTGGAGTAATTTACGGATTGGTTCACTCAATGTTGTAGATATCCAGAGATGGCACTGCCCTTGCCTATTCTTAGATTGTCAGAAGCCATTCAACCTAAAACACAGATGGTGATCAAAGACCAGACTCTCAGAACAAGGGTACAGAATTAAATTGTGATTTAGTATTGGGTTTTAATATCTAGTGTCACATTTGCTGGAACTGCCCAATGGAAAATAAGTATAAAGATCACAAGGCATCCAACCATGTAAGAATCAAGGAAAAAGACAGGGCACAGAAGTGATTTTCCATGTTAATGAAACTGGGGTTTTTCCTTCAAGCTCCAAAGATTCAGTATGCATTGTGCTTGATTAAAAATTATTTTTTCAGAATGTTTTACATGAATTTTAAGCTGGGTTCATAACTCAAGCCATAAGTTTATAAATTCCAAAAGGATGAGTATATGCAAGTTTGCATCAGACTTTTACTGAGTCTGGAACTTTCACCAGATTTCCTTCATACCATTGTGCTACAATTCTTCAGCCAGCCCATTCATATTTTGACACTCTCTATTGCCTATCTCCATATTATATAAAGACTATATTCCAAGCATATGTAAAGCAGTAGTTACTCTTAACATGGAAAAATACACTAAGATGTGTTGAAGGTTAAAGGGACATAGTCATCTTCATTTAACTATTTAAACCTGTTTTATTTTGTTTTTACATTGTAACATTTTTATGTTGTAATATACTGAGATTTCTGGCCTTTATTCAGAATTTGGCTCTGCTGCAGGCAGCTCTGACTTAAGTGGAGTTTGTGTCCTTGCCTGTGAGCAAAAAAGACCCCTAACTATATAGTCGTGCTTCACCATTTGACAGCAATATCGATAGAAAAACAGTTCTTTCCACCAGCAGTGGAATCTAGTAGTGCAGTAAAAATGTATTCTTGGCTCAGGTGGGATACTGATGATGAAACGGATATTGTTTAACAGGTTACGTTCTGTTTAAATGAAAAGTCTTTTTTTTAAAAAAGTAGCTAGTA